ATAACTCTTTTGAAAAAAATTCTTTTTGGAAATGATCATACATAAATATAAGTCTTAAATTATTTACTATCCATAAAATGTTCTTATTAGTACTCTTTGACTGGTATCAATTTTCATTATTAATTTGTGAGGTCTTTCTGTTACACTTCGTGTTTAAATATAATATAGGGTTATTCACTAAGCATGATTACCCATATATTTTCCTTTAAGAGTGCGTCGTACCCGCACATACTTAGGTTAACATTATCTTATATGTTCTCTCGTTGGTGTTCTACGATATATTAATTTTTAAATGAACCATGAGCGTTTTCAAAAATTGATATTTCATTAACTCATAAATCACTTAAAAATAAAAAATCAACGAGAGAACACAGATAATGTTCTTATTTCTTGCACATGTGGGTACAACGTGCTATTTATACTGCATTTATTCAAATTTTGATTTTTGGAAGTTTTTTAAAATATTAAATTTAATATTCTCAATAATTATCACAATGAATCTTTTTGCAAATACTTAAATAATGTTAAGAAATCTCAAGAGTTAAAAAATATGATCAATGGGATTATGGGAATAAGTATGTTTTAAAATTCCAAAAATCAGATTTTGAATAACTACATTATTGAAGTAAAATGAGGTGAGTATGCTTGGAGTATCACTCTATAATATCATAATAAATATCAATCTAAATGACAAACAACCACCTGTAATACATAAACTTTATAATATGTAGATATTTTTTTTGTAATGTATTGTGGATATGTCCGGGTCGTTCAGGCGATTTTGAGTCCAACAATAGCGACTGAACGTCTGAACCTTATATCCGTTAGTCTTGTAAGCGGTGTCTATAAATATACATAATATTTATTACAAAACTTAAAAAGTCCGCTTAATGGAGTTGTACAGATATTATTTTAAATCACTGTTTCGTAATCATTCGGTTATGTAAAATAAACCATTGTTAGAGTGTACTCTAAACTCTAGTGCGGTCTCAACTGCAAGGAATATGTATAATATGGATGCTAGCGTACGACGTCAGTATAGTGACCTACATCGATAATTAATATAAATAATTATAAAACTATATATTACTAGTACTCGATTCTAATTATTGTTTTCCGTCCTCTCGTGGACCGCATACTTGTGATTCCACAAAACGAAGTATTATATATCCGCAGCGTGCATGATATTATATAGATACACGCACGCGTCTAATTCTGCCGGCCAAGTGTGTGTGTGTGTGTGTGTGGTGTGTGTGTGTGCATACTCGTATGATAACCCGAACTTTCTGGAAGTCATCAGTATAGAAAATATAAATAGTCAATAATATATAACAATACATAGGTATGTATTCTATACATGGAAGTCCGCACATCGCGAGCAGCACAGGCAAACGTCTATACCTATACCGCGGATTTAGTAAATATTATACACATGTAATAGGTACGCCTATACAAAAACACGGATGATATAATAAAATAATATAACGATTAGTCCCGAGAGCGTGTCTGTCCGGCTATACGATATATAGGTAGTCCATAACGTACAATATAGGTTTATTATTATTCAATAAATCGTTTGGATACGCAAAATTACCTATGCAAAAAAAAAAAAAAAATGAATAAATGCAACGATATTATATCAGATGCACTCGCAGAGCAAGACGGACATTTCGAAATCCTAGCGATGAAACGACGTAACGCGCACATTGTTATGCATACCGGCTACACACGTGTATATGTGGTGCCTCGAGTTATGGAGGTACGCGTATTATATGTTAATAAATTCTCGAGGAAACGTGGTCGTCGCCCGATGACGATATATTTATGTGCGGCGCCCGTCCGTCGAACCCTCGTCGTATAATTATTAGCATTTTCGTCATTATGGTATTATAATAATAATAATAATAATAATATGTAGGTACACGATGAGCTTTTATTCTGCAGTATAATATATGATGTTCGCCGACTGTTTTCGATTGCGACTATACCGAGTCCCTTGTACAACAAATCACAATATACTCGTTATTTTATGATGCACCTACCTACTTCACGTATATACGTACGGAAAAAACCTACACTGCAACTGCACTGCAGACATGATGCGCACGTTATTATATTCTGTAAGTCGAATCCGCAACTTCCGTGTTCCATCACTAAATGCATCATATTATATAATAAAACATGCTGCAAGGAATGCGCCCATCGAGTTTGTAGAACGTACTCGAACCCACAATTAGAAGACCAAAAGTGACAAAAAAAAATTGTCTAGAGTTGAATAATATAATAATTCCAAATATGACATATTTTTTGACTTATTGTGGTTCTAACTATAATACAATATGAATGTATACTATACATTATACAATGTACATATATGTCTTAACAAGTGTTAGGTATAACTTAAGCTTATAAAACTAAACCTAACTTAATTTTTTTTTAAGTTTTAAACTATAGTAGGTTTATCGTTTTAATTGGGTACATAAATAACGTAATATATAGGTATCATAATTATTAATTTCAACAACATAGCTCTTGTTAGTTAATTTGAAAAAAATGCATTCGTTAAAATCATGATCATACAAATCTATGACTGTGTTTGAGCTTTTCATCAAGCCTATACTTAAAAAAAAAAAAAATAATAAGATATTGTATTATTGCTTAATAAAATAAATAATAATCGATTTAATAATTCTGTATTTTAGTAGATACAAGCATAACATTTTAATATTACTTTAACATTACAGTCTGCAATAAGAAAGAATTTATAAAATTATAACGCTATGCATATCTATTATATAAGACTTTATACGAATACTTATAAAGTTCAAAATATTAATACGGTTAGGTTAAGTTGTACTGTTAACTTATAACTTAACGAAGTCTCTAATAATTATGTCTCTATAACTATATGTATGTAATCATTTTATTCCTATCAACTGAAAATTGTAAATCATCTTATGATTTTCCAACTATAATAACTTTTAGTTAAGAGCTGAAAAAAAAACTTTGCTTACTTACTTTACAAACTCAAAAGTATTATTTTCATAAACCCATTTTTTTTTTTGCTCACCTTTGCCTATGAGAAATTGAGGACTAATCGACTAAATGTAAGCAGGATGTTATATTCGTCTGTGGGTTCTATAATAATTTATTCAGTATGAAATTAATTTCGATAACGTGGTGACAACAATAAAATAGGATAGGAATATTCATTATGAAAAATTTCTATTCTATAAATACCACATCAAGTGGGTGTAAGGTAAACGTGCAGAGTAGGTATATATATAAACGACCAATATATGGTATGGTAATGATGAGAGATATTCGATTCAAAAGAATATCACAAATAAAAAAAATTGCATTGTTATTTAACTACTATTTTTTTGAACTAGACGCTTTCGTTGTCGTTAAAATGTATACTTTGTTCGTACTTCATAAACAATTTTTTGATATTATATTGCTCAATTGATTGGTCTTTATTGGGTGCAACTAAGTGAAAATTTATACCACATTTTAGTTTTAGTAAGATACATTATACAGGTACATTTATTTGTTTCATTATTTATTATACGTATATTGTTAAGTATGTATATAATTTGTATTTATATGATTAGTACCGCTTGACAGGTAAAAATGGTATACGAACGATGTAAATATCATAGTAGACAGAATATAATATTGTGCATTATACATCTACAATCTGCATTCGCAACATGATGCCTACCTATTGACGAACATGTAAAAACTTGAATTATCGAAAACTCAGCAGTCTGCAGGCGATAAAAACGAAACCGATATCATGCATTTTTGAGCCTATTCTTCAACGACATATGTAGGGCGCCAGGATTTGCAGCAAAAAAAAAACTATCACTATTACTTCTTTAATTATTGAAAATACGATGCCTTTGCACCACAAAGGCATACGATATAGGCTTGTTTATAGTTGTACATTATAATGTTGTTGTATACCTAATATAATGCTTATTATTGATCTTGATGGAATACGACTTGCAAGCTGTTAAATACGTAACATATCTTAATGTATTTAATAGGCTACGCGAAATCTTCGGTGCCTAAGTATGTACACAAAAATTTTCAAATGCCAACTTTACGATGATTTACGATGACTTGTCAGCACGAAAATCAATTTAAAGAGTAAAAAAATAAGATCGAATATTTTTGAACTCAAACCGTATAGGAACCTATATTAAAGTAATAAGGCAATCTTGATGTTTTTATCCCCCTCCTCTCCCTTGACGGTATGTTGATATTATAACGTGTGTGCTTAAAGCTCGGAGCGTGTACGCGAACCGTGTGGTTTGGAAAGCGTCCGGTCGAGGCTGCGAACATAACCAGCCCATAACGCGTAGGCACCTACATAGGTTATATTATTAAATATATATACGACGAGTTCTCACAGACACAACTATATAATCGCATATATACATATTATACGTTGTATATCTCCGATACGATTCGAAATGATAGATTGTCGGATTTCTACGACACGATGCGGCTTGATATTATAGCGGAGCGATGATGACGACGCGACGCGACGATGGGGGTCGCATGCGATCGCGAGCTGAACTTTAACGATTTCCCATGTAAAAAAGTACGAGAGCACAACAATAATCAGAGTGATTGACAGTGCCTATATATGTATACCTCAGAACAGGTATATAACAGGCGATGGCCTATACCGCGGTTGGTCGTCGATTATAGACACGTTCACACATTCTTCGGATACCCATACCTCGGCAGACGATCGTCCACACTATTATTACTATATTATTATTGTTATTGGGTAACGGGCACTCGTTGTCGGCATATGGGAAAAAAAACGAAAACAAAATTATTTTAATAACGCTCGACACAATCGTTACGACGTCGGCGACGGTCGTGTTTTGAGATAGGTCGCGGCACGAGGACTCGGCCCCGCCGCCGAGAGTGGTGGAACCATAATGCAGTGACCGTCAGCGAGGAGGAGAAGAAGAAGGAACCCTTTGCTGCAGCTCATCATCACTTTTACCCGAACGATCTTCAGTACGTGCGCGCTGCCGGGTGAGTTTACAAATGCACTGCTGCACACTCTAAAAGGAATCACACAGGTAAATCGACTTCAGACAAATTTATTATAGTATATTAGTATTATTTTTTTTTTATTGTTATCGATTAATGCATGTATTTTTTCTAAACAAAACCTTTTAAAATTAAAAGAAGAATAATAACATATTTTAAGCTCCGACTAACAGTACACACTATTGTAAAACGGCGGTGACCATATTTTCGACAAGAAAAGCTTAAACAAAATATAATTTTATACCTACTCATAGAATACAAAATATTGATTTATCTCCAATAACACAACATAGGTGCATGTCAATACTATAGTATATTTTTACGAACCCTACACATATAAACGTATATACATAGACACATTGTTTTGCGAACGATTCGCACAACGTCGTGTCGTAACAATAATATTGTGATGTCTGTACCTACATATAGTACATATACTTACGCGACCGCCATTTATTTTTTATACGTTTTCCGATCCGATTCCACCAACAACAACACACAAATAGGTACGCAACACAATGTAGGTGAAACGCGTTCGGTCTGAGCGAGCGTCTTATCGATTTGTACATCGGTATAGGCACTTGTCACAAAAAAATAACCTGTTCGTATAATATATTATATCATATGCATTGTACATACATATATGTACGATGTTAAAATAGAATAATGTCGCACACATAATTCATCGATGTTCTTTTTTGTTGCATACAACGTCCACCGCATCTGCATGAGTATACGTACGCGACCGTTATTGCGTCGTTGCAGGAGAAGACCGCCGTTGCGTAATTTTATATCTACGGAATACAATTTTAGTCGTCGTCGTACTTTATTTTGCGGAGTGCAGTGCTCAAATATTAATAATATTGTACATAATAATTCGATATTAAACGGGAGAACCGCGAGAGTATCACGTAATGCGACCAATAAACAATAATTAATACGCGACGATATTATGCTGCGCATGCAGGATACTGAAGCGACGGAGTCCCACGTGAACAATATTTCTAATACATAATAATATTATACTATTTCAACTATTTCATATTGTATGCGGCGTGAGGGTACGATAAACATTTTTGTAATAATTACGTTAATATGCGTGCGTATATACCGGTCCGACGGCTCATCATCGTGACGAGAATACGTAATTCGATTCCGTGTGCACATAAATGTCATCTATAAATCTGAACCAGATGACGGTGCAATATAATAATAATATTATAATGTGACGCCGCGCATTGACTCTGCCCTGTCGCGACGGTAAAACACGATTTTTTTCGTTTTTTCTCCGGTCGCTCGTATTTTTAAAAAACCGTCATCGCGTGAGAACGTAGAAAATTCATCGTTCCTCCGGGGCGTTGTTAAATTAGTTTTATTATTATACCTAATACCAAATTATTTTCGTCTTACGACTTTGTTCGGCCACGGAATTTATCGATGTCTAATGGATTTTTTTTATCGATCGAATTCCAGTAGTCCGCCGGGACGGCTCACGATGCGTGTGTGCTATTATGTTATGTATACTACTAAACCTATCCGCTTAATAAATACATTATAAGCTGTAGGTAGACGTTACGTTTTGATAAGTATAATAAAAAAACTATTAATTTTCGACATTATAGAAATGCATTTTCCACAAACATCAGGTTTTCGTTTTTAATTCGAAATCTATACGAAGGTTAAATCTTCGTTTACGATAGGCAATTTTCTTTAAACATTCAACAAATAATTACATATAAGTACCTATTTTCGAGTCGTTTGTACATCGTTAAGTTTTCTAAGCGTTTGCAGAGCTACGGTTTATAGATTGTGCAAGTAACATCATTACCTACCTATAAACATATTATAATTATTATTATATCCGGTATAATGCATGTATTTATTATTTACATAAACATATCGAAATCAACTTGTTATAATAATATGCACATTACGAGTATCATCACGTTCTCTACGATTTCAATAGATTTAGGTAATTTTTTTTTAAACGGTCGATTAATCGATCTCCGAAGATAAATAATCATTATGTAAAATATGATATTTGTGCGTAATATTATCCAACAGCGGTGGCCGTCATCGTGGTCCGCGCAGTCGTTTCCTGTTCGATTAATTCAAATATAATGGAACTAGTTTGAAGATTACCCAAACATCTAGGTACCGCAGATCACGCGTTTACATAACACGATCGAGGCGTCTCGGTTGTTCGTATTTAAATGTACGTGTGTGTGTGTGTGTGTGTGTGTGTGTGTGTGTGTGTGTGTGTGTTTGGGTGTGTGTGTGTGTGTGTGTGTGTGTGTGTGTGTGTGTGTGTGTGTGTGTGTGTGTTTGGTGTGTGTGTATACAACGAACAATGAGCGAACGCGTATAGTCATTTCGTCAGACCGAATTAAGACAATAATAAATTATTTTCTTCAATCGCAACCGAGTCGGGTCTTCTTCTGTGCAACATAATAATATTATATTATATTGTTCGGAGTCGAACGCCAGAAACAATATTATGTACTATACGCGTCCCGTCCTATACCTATATATATATATATGTATATATACATGTCGGCTCGTAGGTGTACATTATAATATTATATAGGCACAGGACCGAAGTCTGTAGAGATAATTTTGCCTAAGTATTATTTTAGTATTCGCGTGTCGAAATCTTGCAGCCTCTGCAATAATACAAACGTTGCAAATATATGTTCGTTTGATTTCTGTCTATATGAATAAATGAATAATACCGCGGCTGTGTTCAACGCCGAGTAGAACACATTGTATGCGTTTGTCCAAATCAAAGAGATTTGTAACACAAATAATAGAACAACATCATGCGGTCGGATTCGCATGGTAAAATAGACTGCAAAATCGAGTAAACATATAGCGCGGAGTAGTCATTTTGGAGAGACGGTTCACCTCCCATCTGGAATTCAATTCACTGCATTTCAGTATCCAGGTATTTGGCCCTGATCTCGAATTACAAGTCGTATTCACCATATTTATTGACTTTATTATTCGTTATTTTAGTATAATACCGATGGTTAAAATAATAATGCTCCACTCAATCGCATCATAACTTTAGTCAGTGGGTTGTTTAGTTCGGAATACCTAAAAAAGGTGCTCAAACGTAATAAGCGCATTATTGCATCGTGATATTGGCAGGAGGATAATTCAAAACTGGCGATTTATCTAAAGTTGCCATTCCACGCACACCGGGCTTATGATCAAAATCAAATGTTTTAATAAAATTAATACATTTCTATTGTATAGAACCTTAGTCAAAATCAAATTTGTTGATTTCTTTATTTGCGTATAATAATTGTATCGTTTTGAATGCATAGTTTGTTGTTTAGTGTCAACAATTCGGCAATAGCATTAATTTTTTCACCGGTATCCTTCAACAGGCTCCTGAATTGCAGTCTGCAGATGATGGCAACCATCGACAAATAATAATTTGTCTCCGGAAATAATAGTCGAATATTATATTATTGATATGACTGGGAATCAAATATGTACAAAAAAATTCGTAACTAATAGCGATTTGTGATTGCCAAAATAATGATAAACCTATTAATTATTATTAAAGTTTAAGAGATTAACCTAACATTACCTGTGTGCTTGGACGTTGGACAGGAAAATTCGACGACAAATCACGTGAACGCCTTTTTTTATTCACAACCCTACTCGTGTAGAAATGTAAACAACGCAATAATCGATGACGGAAAAATTCGACTGATATTATTCAACTTTCTCTTCGCGGGTACCAATAGGTACGTTTACCGCGGACCCCGCGTCGTCAGGTCGATGGGCGCGCGATAATAATGCGACGAGTACAACTGCAGAAGTGCAGAATCCTATTGTTCCTATAATAATAACAATATAATAACATTTGACCCATGTCTGGGGAATTAACGTGCGTTACGTATGCAAACCCGAAATACATTATCATTGTTAAGGTTTGAATTTTAACGTGTGTGATAATATATTATAGTAGAGGGCTCAGTGTTGTGATATATCTACGACCGGTGCCGCCGAAAAGTCGGTGTCGTCCTTGCAGCAGACGGATGGGTGGGCGGTACCGCGAGCGCACGTTAAAAATAATGCTATACGAAACGCGTGTGGGGTATGAATTAGTGTGCGCTAATTATAAAGAGCATGTCAGCTTAAAATGTTTGTCGTCTCTGTCCGTTATGGATTTATGATAATTTAGTCTCAAAACTGCTCTTCTCGTCGTTTCTCATTACTATATGGTAGCCGAACGGTATTCAAACCGTATACCACATATGGTATAGACTTTATACATTGTTCATCCGATTCATTGATTTGTTTTCATTACATAAATAATTTTAACTATCTAAAAATGTACAATTTGTAGTCGATATTCTATTTACCTACTTCAAACATTAGAGTTGTTCTAAAAAAAATGAGAAATTCAAAGAATGTTTGTATATCTATATTGGATAGAGAACAGATTGAACAGTGACATCATCTCGAAAGAAACGTGTCGGTGCCTTGGGTGTATTGTAATATAGGTACATTTTAAAACATACTGCGGTAAAATTATTAATTATTAAAATAATATAAGCCACTATTTTATATAATACAAACAGCCCCGAGTCCGTAAATCACACGACGAGCGTGTGAAGAGACAACGCACGGCGAAAAGTAATATTATTACTCAACCGAAAAGGACTCGTTATCATTTATATTACGTATTAAATACCTACTGCAACGATCACCGACGTCTCCTACGGTTAACACAGTAAAACGCGTTTCCGCGTAATAATGAACAATTTATTACTTATAATATACTGTACCAGCTAAACAGCTAGGAACTTGTGAGCGTTTCCGTCCGGCTTTCAAATCTGATTTGATACATACAAATAATATTGTGTGTAATTATATTTTCCAAAGCTGAAAATAAGTGCGAAACGTTAGTCTTATTTTAAAGCTCCACGGCAGCCGTCGAACGTGCGCATATGGTACCTACATCATAATAATATTATCGTCATCTCGGTGAAACGTAGTGGAATTCTCTAAA